ATTTTAACTTTCACTTTAAAAATGTTGTAAAAAGTAGGTTTATGTGTCAGCTGTTTTTCGTCCTGATGTGAAGCCCTTCAGGAGTTTGATGAGTACTAGAGTGGCTTCTATTGCTACTAGTTATGTCTTTGAGCACCTCTTATGAATCTTTTGTACTCTTCAAACTTCCTGTGTGCTTAATATCTTGATGATTGCAAACACCTACTCTCGATTATAAGTATTACACAAACTCTACAGTAATTGTTAGTATTAAATGAAACAAAATTCACAATTTTATCAATGCCTAACATGATTGAGTGCATTGGTGTACACTTATACTTTTGTCTTTGAGAACATCGACTAATAAAGTTACATAAAAATCAAAACAACAGACATAATTCATCCAGCATTTAATTGGGCAGGTTTGAAGGTAAATACATTACAAAAAAAAATTGTAATTCTAGGTCGTTGTCGCACTTGCAATTAAAAGGTTAAGATTTCACTACGGCGACGTGTGGTAAAACGTTGCCGAAAAAACGTAATTTATTTTTCTTTAAGATTTTCGCAAAAAGCTTGATGCCTTTATGATCATTTGCTCATTTGATCTTTTTGTAACCTGAAAGCCACCCCGGCTTGGCGGGTTACCCCACCTTGAGACGTTTACATGGCAGATTGCCACCCCGGCTGACATGGTTACCCTACCAAGCAGACCGGGCAATCCACATAGGGGGGTCACCCCATTTATCATATGAGCGTGATCAAGATAAAATTAGAGATTATATGGACAGGCGGGTTACACCACTTAGGGGTGGTTACCTCACCTACCTTGGGTTCCCAGCTCCAGACCCTCAGTTCATAGACTTAAAACGAGAATGGCGCTTTCATTTGAAATGATACTTTTAGGCCGCGGGGTGCTTTGTCTCCTTCTGCCTACACAGTTGTCTTTCTTTTGCTCTTCCAACATACTCTTTTCTATTTTATCAAGTCATTTGATTCCCGCAAGTATCTTGGTCCCCTTGCTGTACTTTATGTTGAGCTTGCTCGGGTGTGCGTCATTTTTCCTTACGTGGTTGATTGGGAAACGGCATCTTTACTCCTACAGTTGGTTTGGGTATACTGGTGTGTTGATATTTAACACTATCTTATTACTTCCTATGTATCAACTAGTCGTACACACAGAGCAAGATAACCTATATGGGCCAAAGGTTTTTGTCAAAGTTCTTTATATCACACCATTTATTTTGCTGCTCTTTTTGAACACTGCTGGCGAAGGAGGCACCGAATTTCACGGAGAATCTGGATGGTTGTTTGCTACAATGTCTGCACAAATATTCGAAGCCATCGATATGATAGACAATGTTTTGAACGGTTATGGCAATGGGACACCTACAGGACTTGGAGTGGGCATGATTACCCTTGCTTTTGGATGTCTGTTGCTTGCAGCGTGGGAGTTTCTAGAACTAGCGCATCACTCACCCGGAAGCGAGAACGGAGCGAAGGTTTATCGACTTATCGTGTTGATTCTCGTTAGCCTGGCAACTTTGATAATTCGAGCGGTGGTTTATGTTGATTATGGTTGGAGAGAAACGACGCCGATCGCCAAGAATGTAATCATGATATGGATATCAGTCTCGGAATTACGCTGTTGCTTTGGTCAGACTTCTCTATAAACATATCTGGATGAGATACAACTGGCCTGGCCCGGCTAAATCAGATAATTTGGTTCTATCATTCGCTCTGACGAAGCTCTAACGTCAGCTGTAGAAACTTTTTATGGTGGCAAATTTACTTTATCAACTTAGTGGAAAAAACTAAATTATCTTGTTCTACCCCTCACCGACGCAGCACTAGAGTTCCTTTAGAAAGTTATTACCTTTATTCGTAGGGCTTGAATCAGCTTCCCTGAGCCACACCGATGAGGAAATATTTTGGCAAACGGTGATCTTAAATGAGGGCTTCCTCGATGAAAAGCCGTCTATTGCTAACTACTAGTGGAGGCTGAGAATTTCATGAATAATTAATGCCGTGGTCGTCGTTACCTGCCGAGGCTGAAGGCTGAGGGAGATAACACAGTCGCGAGGTTTGATGCTTCTTGATATCATGCGAAGACCCAATTTAATAATTGTTCTAATAATACATTTTTTAAACAATCTGCAAAAGAAGACACTCTCTTAGAGTTTGCAAAAGTTTGAGAAAAGCGCTACACGAGCGAGGGGTTTGGAAACTTGGCAGCCTTTGAACTCGATATCTGTAGCAGATATTGGGTTATTATAATGGGTTATTATGTCAACTTCATTCACTCCATTGTATATTGACTGAATGCTCTCACCTTATCAGAGTTTTCATTGTAAGTCTAGTGTATGATAATGGAGTTTGTCTGTAAAGATAAACCGTCCAAACTTTTATTTGGACGTCTTTGTTTGTTTAGTTGGTGTTGTGAATTTTAAGATTTTAATTGCAAATCCAAATTGAAGTATTCCTTTCTCTAAAACATTGGTTGAAAAGCTAGGGTATTGATATGAATTGAATACTGAGTGGAAACATCTGTCATTTGAACTTTTCAAGCAACTGTTCAGGCATGATATTCACTCTGACATAAAAATAATATGTTCTGTCTTCTAAAATGTGTGTATTGTTGGCACCTTTCATCCCATAGCTAGTAAATTTGTGCTATCAAATTCAATTCTGTAAATATGTTTCATATTCCACCGTGCATGTTGATGAGTTGTAAGCACTGGAGCAAAGCAGATTAATTTTTCTTTCAAATAAAATTTTAACTTCCTCTTGTGAAAATGTTTTAAAAAATAGGTTTATGTGTCAACTGTTTTTTCATCCAGATGTGAAGTCCTTCAGGAGTTTGATGAGTGCTGAAGAGGCTTCTTTTAGTGATATCTTGAGCACCTCTTAAGAATCTTTTGTGCTCCTCAAACTTCCTGTATGCTTAATGTCTTGATGAATGCAAACCCTTGGATACACCAACTCTTGATCTTAAGATTGAATGAAACATAATTCACAATTCTATCAATACCTAACATGATTGAGTATGTTGGCATACAATTATACTTTTGTCTTTGAGAACATCAACTTATCAAGTTCTATAAAAATCAAAACAACAGACATAATTCATCCAGCATTTAATTGGGCAGATTTGAAGGCAAAGAATTCACAAAAAAAAGGAAACCACTACATCACTTCTTCTTCTTTGATGGCAACAATATACCGTCATACTAAAAAAACAAAACAAACCAAACCAATATTAACATAGAAGTATAACAAAATAAGCTGTGTAGAGCTGGCGAGAGAGGGGAGGGATGGTGGTAACAAATGATCTTGTAAATTGTCCAGGGGAGGGGAAGTCCTGAAAAGGACTGAAATCTTTGATAGTCACTTAAGTTTTGACTGTGTGAATTAGAATAATCAATAGCTCATCAGAGACAAGGTGAAGTTGTTTATCAGTCAAACATTACACATTGTGATTGCAAAAACTGATCGATTAGTTTTGCTGTGAGGTCATTTACTGTAAGATTCGAGTCTTGATTATTTTTAGTCTGTTCATTTTGTCCAGTTCTTTGGATGTATTAATGCAGTGAAGAAGTCATTTGAAGAGTGCTGCTAGTTATAAAAATCTGTATCAGTCTGTTATCAAAAGAGAGTAAACCACATTTGGAAAGTCAGCCACTGAAAAGCAGTAATAATAAGAGTCACAGCTGTATGAGTATTTTCCAACTATTGCCAATTTGGCTCAGCTCCCCAAAGTTAAAGGGTAAAGCAGGCTGGCCCAGTTCAGCTTTAAGCCGGTTTTAATAGGGGCCTACCTCCCCTTAGAGTGACTGATGTCTAATTTCTCTGGACAGTATCACCTCTGTATCAAACATAAAATCATGACAATAAAGGAAATGATCACAAATTAATGAGACACTTGATTGTTTGACAAATTCTCCTTTCAATACCAAAGGCAATGTGTAGAGAAAAGAGGGAAGAATATGCATAGTGACGTTAAAGTATAAGGGTGTCCAGGCGTTACCTTCTGTTGGAACCACTTCATGGATTCATCCTTTGATATCAGATGCTTGTAGCCAATTCTGGATTGCTTCCTTTTCCGTTCAGCAACACTGAAACCAGGACGTCCCAGCACTACGTAGAAATCCATGCCATAAATCCCAATACTGGGGTCATATTTAATTCCAAGATCAATATGTTCTTGGATTCCAAAACCAAAGTTTCCAGTTTTAGAGAAGTTATCCTTTGAAAGCTCATATTCACGAACCTATTGAAACAAAAAACAGTTGAGCTTTAACCCTTTAACTCCCAGCAGTGATCAATATGCAACTTCTCCCAATAATATTCATACATTATCCAGCAAACAGGTAATGAGAATACTCAAACTTAGTAGGTAGAAGTTGTCTTCTTGATATAACACCAAATTCTCATAACTACTTTACAAGTAAAATGTGTAGCAGCTAGAGGGGAGAATTAACAATCAGATCTTGGGAGTTAAAGGGTTAATTAACTACTTTCTGTAGCATGACCTGACCAGCTTTGAGTATTACCACTGCCCTTTGGATATGATACTAGTCTCTAGGAGTAACTGGCATCTAATTTCTCCTTAAGTATCATGCTTGAATCACATGTAAAGCTCATAACAATAAAGGAAAATTAATGATGACCAATCAAAGAGGCTCTTGATTGTCAAACAAATTCTCCTTATGAAGACAATAGGAAATGTAAAGAAGACAGTGTGGAGAATATGAATACCAATGTAAAAGGTGTGAAGGTTTAAGGTAGCCCTCCACCTTTCTTTTGGGTTTCCATGACAGTTTGCCAGTACTCATTTAAACCCCAGGGTGGAAAGAGGTGTTATAAAGGCAAATATAGCATCAACAAACACCACACAAAAACCCAGTCAGGGTTTGCCCAGATCTTATCCATCCAGAGTCCACTGGGCTAAATGTCTTGTTATTTGACATCAGATTGTTCCTACCGGTGAACTCTACCTCTGTTGTTATATCATCTCTCAGTTAGCATGTAACCACGGTGAAACCTTTGTCAAACAAACAATCTTTTCAATTTTCTTTTAAGTCGTTTGATTTTTCGTGACTGCCAACCATGTTGGTCACTTTACAACTTCTGAAGAGCTGCGAAACTTATTGAAATATCCACAAATATAAACTATGTATGAATACAATCGATCTTTCCAGAAGACAAGGCATTTGACTGACGCAAAAATATCGCTGATGAATCAGGGAATATATAGACCCATTCAAGGTACGGCTTTGTCGGGTTGACGTAAATGGCAAGGTCATCAAAGCTTGGAGGGGTATATTCAATATAGGAGCGTATTTAAACAGTTATTGGATTTATCGCATGTTAAATAGGAGTATAGGAGCTTGGGACGAAGGAAAGTTATCACCTTGGGCGCAAAAAACTGTTTAAAGAGAACGCAGATCCACCTAATACGCTGGTAACGTTTGTTGATACTCGCCTTCATGCAAGGTTTCCGTTACCATTTTCAAGGCGTTTAGGTTTAGTAAGTAACGGGTACGATGGAAGGGCAGAGCGAAAAAAGAGAGGCAGTGCTTTGTAAGCTGTCCATTGCAGCTTGCTCTCCAATTGATGGGTAAATTCATTACTCTGTGTCATAAAATTAAGCTCCGATTGTATCATACTTTAAACTAGGGGCGGTTTTTGTTTATTCTCTTCCGTCTCGTTAGACTTTCCTATTTTTACAGATCCCAAAACCCACAAGAATCTAACGAGCTCCACCGCGCGCAGCAAATGTAGTTTTCCAGTTTATATATACTAAGTAATTTGACGAGTCAGAACAGTTACCACAGCCAAGAACTTATCAAGAATCTAACAAGCTCCGCTGCAGCAAGCAAAGTTTTCCAGTTTGGTGATAACAAGACAAAGGAGTTATTGCGGTCAAAACTTAATAATTTTCATCACAACTACATTTTGTTTTGTTTTTGATTCATGATTTACGCAAAGATAATCCTAAATTTACTTAAAATCTGTACTTAAAATGCAATCACATTGGGTGTCGAAACTATGGCCATCTGTACTTAGCTCTAAGCGATTCGATAATCGCCAAACAATCAGTTGTTCATCGAACTTATTTTGTCTTTATACTGACCCAGTGAAGATTGACATAGAAACTTGATATTTCGTATCGGACGCTTCACTTTTTATCTACACAGAATATGACCTTTAAGTAGTAAACCTCTATGTGTTCGCGGTGGTCGCGTTTGAAAACAAATTAAGCAGTTTTACTAAGGCTACTTAGAACACTGAGTTCCATTATCTTAGCAATTACTGTTGTTTTTGGCAAATTGTGAACATTGTTGTTCATGTGTGCTAAGCCAAACTCTTTTAACTGCCAATTTTACAAATATACGGGTATGGTATTTTCCCCAAGTCGTTACAGTCAAAGAGTGAAGGTGAATCAGTTTGATACGATGAAGTGACTCTTGAATATCAAAAACTGATTCTTTGTTACATTGTTCGCATGACGTGAGTTATATAATCATTCTAGGTTCCTTAAAACATGCCGCAGAACATGTATGTACGCCTTTTAGAGTCAAGGGAGGCATCCGTTAGTACCTCATAACACTAATTACAGATTAATCGATAACAATCGATATCATAACATACAACCTGGCCGTTTATAACAAGCGTCTTTTCTAGTAGCCATGGATTCAATCTTCAACCCAATGACTCTTCTGTGAAGCGCACAACTTCTTTTGAAAAAGTTCATTAAAAGCCGACAGTGCCTGCTGACATCTCTTTCTATTTATTCTAAAATTGATTAAATTGATTTAACAGACAATGTTTTTACGCATTGTTTAATTTCTCATGCGGTCATTATTGAAAGTGCCAAACAAAAAACAAAGAAATTGTGAAGCTTGTAATAATCGCAGTATGAATTTTTTAGTTCATTTATCGAGCGGTACGCCTCGAGCAAAGTCGTAATAAGGTGAATAAAAATCGCCGACTTTGTTGAGACGTCATGCACTTGTGGTTAACGATACCGTGCATTAATCAGGGAAACCAGCTTTGCCGACTGCATGATGGCAAGATATTTGTAGACTGTCCTAAACTTGTAACTTGTACAGTTTAAAATTAAAAATACGTTTACGTCAAAAGGTGTCACAGGGTGAATAGCAAAATTTACCATGTAAACAGACCCTTAGTTCAATAGAACGAGAATGGCGCTCTCACACGGAATGGTAACGTTAGGGCGCTTCGCGCTTATTCTCCTTCTGTATCTAAAGTTGATTTCCATCTGCTTAAATGTAGTCTCTTGTATTGTATTGGGTCACTGGACTTTCACGGTAGGAATCCTGTTGATCTTGTCGACCTTTACGCTACATATTGTCGGGATGTTATCATTTGGCGAAGCGTGGACACTTGGGAAACGGCATTATTACTCTTACACTTGGTTTGTGTATACTGGTCTTTTAATAGTGGACATTATCGTAGTACTTACACCGTATCTACAAGTCGTAGATGCAGAGAAAGATATTCCATTTTGGCTAACGATTTTTGTCAAAGTTCTTTATATCACACCATTTACTTTGCTGCTCTTTTTGAACACTGCTGGCGAAAAAGGCACCGAATTTCACGGAGAATCTGGATGGTTGTTTGCTACAATGTCTGCACAAATATTCGACCCCATCGATATGATAGACAATGTTTTGAACGGTTATGGCAATGGGACACCTACAGGACTTGGAGTGGGCATGATTACCCTAGCTTTTGGATGTCTGTTGCTTGCAGCGTGGGAGTTTCTAGAACTAGCGCATTACTCACCCGGAAGTAAGAACGGAGCGAAGGTTCATCGACTTATCGTGTTGATTCTCGTTAGCCTGGCAACTTTGATAATTCGAGCGGTGGTTTATGTTGATTATGGTTGGAGAGAAACGACGCCGATCGCCAAGAATGTAATCATGATATGTATATCAGTCTCGGAATTACGCCGTTGCTTTGGTCAGACTTCTCTATAAACATATCTGGATGAGGTACAACTAGGCCCGGCGAAATCAGATAATTTGGTTTCATCTTTCGCTCTGATAAAGCGCTAACGTCAGCTTTAAAAAATTTTTACGGTGGCCAATTTACTTTGTGGATAAAACTAAATTATCTTGTTCCATTCTTCACCGACGCAGCACCAGAGTTCCTTTAGAAAGTTACTACCTTTATTCATAGGGCTTAAATTGGCTCTCCTGAGTAACACCGATGAGGAAATATTTTAGCGAAACGGTGATCTTAAATGAGGGCTTCCTTGATCAAAAGCTGTCCATTACCAATTCACAATAAGTAATTACTGGTTGAAGCTGAGTATTTCATGAATAATCAGTGCCGAGGTTGGTGTTATTTGCCGAAGCCGAAGCCTAGGGCTGAGGCAGATAACACGGTTGCTACGTTTGATACTTCTTGATATCATACGAAAACCTAATTCAATTATTGCTTTCATCATACTTTTTTAAAACAATGTGTAAAAGAAGACATTTCTCTCAGAGTTTGCAAAAGTTTGAGAACACTACACGAGCGAGGGGCTTAGAGACTTGGCAGCCTTTGAACTCGCTGATATGATAACCCACTATCTGCTACAGATATTGATTTATCATGTCAACTTCACACACCATTATATATTGACTGAATGCTCTCGCCTAATCAGAGTTTTCATAATAAGTCTAATGTATAATAATGGAGTTTGTCTGTAAAGATAAACCGTCCAAAGTTTCTATTTTTAAGTTTTTGTTTGTTTATTTGGTGTTGTAAATTTTAAGATTTAAATAGCAAATCCAAGTCAAAGTATTCCTCTTTCTAAAATATTGGTTGAAAAGCTAGGGTATTGATATGAAATGAATGCTGAGTGGAAACATCTGTCATTGAACTTTTCAGTCAAGCAACTGTTCAAGCATGATATTCACTCTGACATAAAAATAAGAACCTAATATGTTCTGTCTTCTAAAATGTGAGCATTGTCAGTACCATTCATCCCATAGCTAGTAAATTCGTGCTATCAAATTCAATGCTGTAATTATGCTTCAAATTTCCACTGCGCATGTTGATGAGTTGTAAGCACTGGAGCATAGCAGATGAATTTTCCTTTCATATAAAATTTTAACTTCTACTTTAAAAATGTTGTAAAAAGTAGGTTTATGTGTCAGCTGTTTTTCGTCCTGATGTGAAGCCCTTCAGGAGTTTGATGAGTACTAGAGAGGCTTCTATTGCTACTAGTTATGTCTTTGAGCACCTCTTATGAGTCTTTTGTACTCTTCAAACTTCCTGTGTGCTTAATACCTTGATGAATGCAAACCCTTGTTTACACGTACTCTCAATTATAAGTATTACACAAACTCTACAGTAATTGTTAGTATTAAATGAAACAAAATTCACAATTTTATCAATGCCTAACATGATTGAGTGCGTTGGCGTACACTTATACTTTTGTCTTAAAGAACATCGACTAATAAAGTTATATAAAAATCAAAACAACAGACATAATTCATCCAGCATTTAATTGGGCAGGTTTGAAGGTAAATAATTTACAAAAAAAAAATTGTAATTCTAGGTCGTTGTCGCACTTGCAATTAAAAGGTTAAGATTTCACTACGGCGACGTGTGGTAAAACGTTGCCGAAAAAACGTAATTTATTTTTCTTTAAGATTTTCGCAAAAAGCTTGATGCCTTTATGATCATTTGCTCATTTGATCTTTTTGTAACCTGAAAGCCACCCCGGCTTGGCGGGTTACCCCACCTTGAGACGTTTACATGGCAGATTGCCACTCCGGCTGACATGGTTACCCTACCAAGCAGACCGGGCAATCCGCATAGGGGGGTCACCCCATTTATCATGTGAGCGTGATCAAGATAAAATTAGGTTTATGCTCCAAATTTCCACTGTGCATGTTGATGAGTTGTAAGCACTGGAGCATAGCAGATGAATTTTCCTTTCATATAAAATTTTAACTTCCACTTTAAAAATGTTGTAAAAAGTAGGTTTATGTGTCAGCTGTTTTTCGTCCTGATGTGAAGCCCTTCAGGAGTTTGATGAGTACTAGAGAGGCTTCTATTGCTACTAGTTATGTCTTTGAGCACCTCTTATGAATCTTTTGTACTCTTCAAACTTCCTGTGTGCTTAATATCTTGATGATTGCAAACACTACTCTCGATTATAAGTATTACACAAACTCTACAGTAATTGTTAGTATTAAATGAAACAAAATTCACAATTTTATCAATGCCTAACATGATTGAGTGCATTGGTGTACACTTATACTTTTGTCTTTGAGAACATCGACTAATAAAGTTACATAAAAATCAAAACAACAGACATAATTCATCCAGCATTTAATTGGGCAGGTTTGAAGGTAAATACATTACAAAAAAAAATTGTAATTCTAGGTCGTTGTCGCACTTGCAATTAAAAGGTTAAGATTTCACTACGGCGACGTGTGGTAAAACGTTGCCGAAAAAACGTAATTTATTTTTCTTTAAGATTTTCGCAAAAAGCTTGATGCCTTTATGATCATTTGCTCATTTGATCTTTTTGTAACCTGAAAGCCACCCCGGCTTGGCGGGTTACCCCACCTTGAGACGTTTACATGGCAGATTGCCACTCCGGCTGACATGGTTACCCTACCAAGCAGACCGGGCAATCCGCATAGGGGAGTCACCCCATTTATCATGTGAGCGTGATCAAGATAAAATTAGAGATTATATGGACAGGCGGGTTACATCACCTAGGGGGGGCTACCTCACCTACCTTGGGTTCCCAGCTCCAGACCCTCAGTTCATAGACTTAAAACGAGAATGGCGCTTTCACTTGAAATGATACGTTTAGGCCGCGTGGTGCTTTGTCTCCTTCTGCTTACACAGTTGGTTTTCTTTTGCTCTTCCAGCATACTCTTTTCTATTTTATCAAGTCATTGGATTCCCGTAAGAATCTTGGTCTCCCTACTGATCCTTATGTTGAGCTTGCTCGGGTTTGAGTCACGTTTCCTTACGTGGTTGATTGGGAAACGGCATCTTTACTCTTACATTTGGTTTGGGTATACTAGTGTGTTGATATTAAACATTATGTTATTACTTCCTCTGTATCTACTAGTCGTACACACAGAGCAAGATAACCTATTTGGGCCAAAGGTTTTTGTCAAAGTTCTTTATATCACACCATTTATTTTGCTGCTCTTTTTGAACACTGCTGGCGAAGAAGGCACCGAATTTCACGGAGAATCTAGATGGTTGTTTGTCACAATGTCTGCACAAATATTCGACGCCATCGATATGATAGACAATGTTTTGAACGGTTATGGCAATGGGCCACCTACAGGACTTGGAGTGGGCATGATTACCCTTGCTTTTGGATGTCTGTTGCTTGCAGCGTGGGAGTTTCTAGAACTAGCGCATTACTCACCCGAAAGCGAGAACGGAGCGAAGGTTCATCGACTTATCGTGTTGATTCTTGTTAGCCTGGCAACTTTGATAATTCGAGTGGTGGTTTATTTTGATTATGGTTGGAGAGAAACGACGCCGATCGCCAAGAATGCAATCACGATATGTATATCAGTTTCGGAATTACGCCGTTGCTTTGGTCAGACTTCTCTATAAACATATCTGGATGAGATACAACTAGGCCCGGCTAAATCAGATAATTTGGTTTCGTCTTTCGCTCTTACAAAGCGCTAACGTCAGCTTTAGAAACCTTTTACGGTGGCCAATTTACATTATCAACTTTTTGGTTAAAACTAAATTATCTTATTCTACCCTTCACCGACGCAGCAGCAGAGTTCCTTTAGAAAGTTACCACCTTTATTCATAGGGCTTAAATTGGCACTCCTGAGCCACACCGATTATTTTAGCAAAACGGTGATCTTAAATGGGGGCTTCCTCGATCAAAAGCTGTCTATTGATAACTCACAATTAACAATTACTCGTTGATGCTGAGCATTTCATGAATAATCAATGCCGAGGTCGGTGTTATTTGCCGAAGCCGAAGGCTGAGGCAGAAAATACAGTCGCAAGGTTTTATACTTCTTGATATCATGCGAAGACCGAATTTAATAATTGTTTTAATTATACATTTTTTAAACAATCTGCAAAAGAAGACACTTCTCTCAGAGTTTGCAAAAGCTTGAGAACACTACACGAGCGAGGGGCTTCGAAACTGGCAGCCTTTGAACTTGATATCTGTAGCAGATATTGGGTTATCATATTGAGTTACCATGTCAACTTCACACACCATTGTATATTGACTGGATGCTCTCGACTAATCAAAGTTTTCATAGCAAGTTTAATGTATAATAATGGAGTTTGTCTGTAAAGATAAACCGTCCAAACTTATATTTGGACGTCTTTGTTTGTTTATTTGGTGTTGTAAATTTTAAGATTTAAATTGCAAATCCAAGTTAAAGTATTCCTCTTTCTGAAACACTGGTTGAAAAGCTAGGGTATTGACATGAATTGAATACTGAGTGGAAAGATCTGTCATTTGAACTTTTCAAGCAACTGTTCAGGCATGATATCATTTCTGACATAAAAATAAGAACCTAATATGTTCTGTCTTCTAAAATGTGTGTATTGTCAGCACCTTTCATCCTATAGCTAGTAAATGTGTGCTATCAAATTCAATTTTGTGACTATGTTTCATATTCCACTGTGCATTTTGATGAGTTGTAAGTACTGGAGCTTAGCAGATGAAGTTTTCTTTCAAATAAAATTTTAACTTCCTCTTGTGAAAATGTTTTAAAAAATAGGTTTATGTGTCAACTGTTTTTTCATCCAGATGTGAAGCCCTTTAGGAGTTTTGAGTGCTAAAGAGGCTTCTTTAAGTGATATCTTGAGTACCTCTTAAGAATCTTTTGTACTCTTCAAACTTCCTGTATGCTTAATGTCTTGATGAATGCAAACCCTTGGATACACCAACTCTTGATTTTAAGATTGAATGAAACAAAATTCACAATTCTATCAATACCTAACATGATTGAGTATGTTAGCATACAATTATACTTTGTCTTTGAGAACATCAACTTATCAAGTTCTATAAAAATCAAAACAACAGACATAATTCATCCAGCATTTAATTGGGCAGATTTGAAGGCAAAGAATTTACAAAAAAAAGGGAAACCACTACATCACTTCTTCTTTGATGGCAACAGTATACCGTCATACAAAAAAAAACAAAACAAAACAATAAGCTGTGTAGAGCTGGCGAGAAAGGGGAGGGTTGGTGGTAAGAAAATGATCTTGTAAATTGTCCAGGGGAGGGGAAGTCCTAAAAAGGACTGAAATTTATGATAGTCACTTAAGTTTTGACAGTGTGAATTAGAATAATCAACAGCTCATCAGAGACAAAGCGAAGTTGTTTATCAGTCAAATATTACATGTTGTGATTGCAAAAACTGATTGGTTAGTTTTGTTGTGAGATCATTTACTGCAAGATTCAAGTCTTGATTATTTCCAATCTGTCCATTTTGGTCAGTTCTTTGGATTTATTATTTCTGTGAAGAAGTCATTTGAAGGGTGCTGCTAGTTGTAAAAATTTGTTGGTATGAGTCTGTTATCAAAAGTGATTAAACCAGCTTTGGAAAGTCAGCTACTGAAAAGTAGTAATAATAAGAGTCGCAGCTGTGTGAGTATTTTCAAACTGTTACCAATTTGGCTCAGCTCCCTAAAAAGTTTCTGAAATCTCTTCATTTGATTTTTGAAATGACAGCCTAGGGATATGAATTTTCCCTTGAAAATTGAAATTTGTCTAGTGCCTGGCGAATAACGAATCTGTGCGGTTTGTAATTGTTGCAGCATGAATTTTTTACTTTATTTATCGAACGTTACGCCTCCAGCAAAGTCGTAATAAGGTGAATAACAATCGCCGACTTTGTCGAGACGTCATACAGCTGTGCTTAATAATACCGTGCATCAGTCGGGGAAACCAACTTTACCGACTGATGGCAACATACTTGTAAAATTGTACTGAACTTGTAACTTGTAAAAAACCAATCTCTTCCCTTAGAAGCCGAAGATACAGTTTAAAATTAAATAGCAAAATTGAATAGCAAAATTTACATAGAAAGGTGGTTCTTTTCTTTATTCATCTGATCTAGTCGTAACTGAGGACTGTCGTTCGCCATTACGCTCACATTGATGACGTAGAGAGTAGAAAAACGAGAAAGGCCCAGGAGCGAGTTAATCTCGAGCCCATAGTTATCGGCTCCTTTCCAGCGGTGTGAGAAGCTGAATGAGGCAGACACCGGCAGGGGCACAATCTTTCTCTGGGGTATTCTCAGGCGGGATATTTTAGCTAACTTGGGGACCCCAGGTAGGTGAGGTAACCCGCCTAGCCGTGGTCGAAAAATAGCCCGCGTTTAACATACAATCTTACAAACCTGGGATGCCGGGCTGAAGTTTCTTTAGGTTGTTGTCGCACTTGCAATTTCCTTGAGACGTTCACAAAGCACATTGCCACCCCGGCTGGCAGGGTTACCCTACCAGGCAGATCGGGCAATCCGCCCTGGGGGGTTACCCCATCTATCATGTAAACGTGATCAAGATAAAATAAGAGATTTTATGGACGGGCGGGTTACACCACCTAGGCGGGTTACCTCACCTACCTCCAGCTCCAAGTAAACAGACCCTCAGTTCAATAGAACGAGAATGGCGCTTTCACTTGGAATGATACGTTTAGGCCGCGTGGTGCTTTGTCTCCTTCTGGTTACACAGGTGTTTTTCTTTGGCTGTTCCGGTATACTCTTTTCTATTTTAATGGGTCATTGGATTCTCGTAGGAATCTTGTTATCCCTCTTGATCTTTAGTATCTTTTTACTGAGCTTGATCGGGTTTGCGTCACTTTCCTTTACTTGGATAATTGGAAAACGGCAGTATTACTCTTACACTTGGTTTGTGTATACTTTTGTGTTGATAATAAACATCGCATTAGTTGCTCAGTATCTACTAGTCGTCGATGGAGAGCAAGATAACCCATTTGGGCCAACGGTTTTTGTCAAAGTTCTTTGTATCACACCATTTATTTTGCTGCTCTTTTTGAACACTGCTGGCGAAGGAGGTACCGAATTTCACGGGGAATCTGAATGGTTGTTTGCCACAATGACTGCACAAATATTCGACGCTGTTGACATGATAGACAATGTTTTGAACGGTTATGGTAATGGGAAACCTACAGGACTTGGAGCAGGGATGATCGGCCTTGCTTCTGGATGTCTGTTGCTTGCAGCGTGGGAGTTTCTAGAACGAGCGCATCACTCACCCGGAAGCAAGAACGGAGCGAAGGTTTATCGGCTTATCGGGTTGATTCTCGTTAACCTGGCAACTTTGATAATTCGAGCAGTGGTTTATGTTGATCATGGTTGGAGGGAAACGACGTCCATCGCCAAGAATATAATCATGATATGTACATCAGTTCCGGAATTACTCCGTCGCATCGGTCAGACTTCTCTATAAACATATCTGGATGAGATACAACTGGCCGGGCCCGGCTAAATCAGATAATTTGGTTCTATCATTCGCTCTGACGAAGCTCTAGCGTCAGCTCTAGAAACTTTTTATGGTGGCCAATTTACTTTATCAACTTAGTGGAAAAAACTAAATTATCTTGTTCTACCCCTCACCGACGCAGCACTAGAGTTCCTTTAGAAAGTTACTACCTTTATTCGTAGGGCTTAAATCAGCTCTCCTGAGCCACACCGATGAGGAAATATTTTGGCAAACGGTGATCGTAAATGAGGGCTTCCTCGATGAAAAGCCGTCTATTGCTAACTACTAGTGGAGGCTGAGAATTTCATGAATACTCAATGCCGAAGTCGTCGTTATTTGCCGAGGCAGATAACACGATCGCGAGGTTTGATATCATGCGAAGACCGAATTCAATAATTGTTTTAATTATACATTCTTTAAACAATCTGCAAAAGAAGACACTCTCTTAGAGTTTGCAAAAGTTTGAGAACAGCACTACACGAGCGAGGGGCTTGGAAACTTGGCAGCCTTTGAACTCGATATCTGTAGCAGATATTGGATTATTATAATGGGTTATCATGTCAACTTCACACTCCATTGTATGTTGACTGAATACTCTCTTATCTCTCTTATCAGAGGTTTCATTGTAAGTCTAGTGTATAATAATGGAGTTTGTCTAAAGATAAACCGTCCAAATTTTTATTTGGACGTCTTTGTTTGTTTAGTTGGTGTTGTAAATTTTAAGATTTTAATTGCAAATCCAAGTTGAAGTATTCCTTTTTCTAAAACATTGGTTGAAAAGCTAGGGTATTGATATGAATTGAATACTGAGTGGAAACATCTGTCATTTGAACTTTTCAAGCAACTGTTCAGGCATGATATTCACTCTGACATAAAAATAATATGTTCTGTCTTCTAAAATGTGTGTATTGTTAGCACCTTTCATCCCATAGCTAGTAAATTTGTGCTATCAAATTCAATTCTGTAAATATGTTTCATATTCCACTGTGCATGTTGATGAGTTGTAAGCACTGGAGCATAGCAGATGAAGTTTTCTTTCAAATAAAATTTTAACTTCCTCTTGTGAAAATGTTTTAAAAAATAGGTTTATGTGTCAACTGTTTTTTCATCCAGATGTGAAGCCCTTCAGGAGTTTGATGAGTGCTGAAGAGGCTTCTTTTAGTGATATCTTGAGCACCTCTTAAGAATCTTTTGTACTCCTCAAACTTCCTGTATGCTTAATGTCTTGATGAATGCAAACCCTTGGATACACCAACTCTTGATCTTAAGATTGAATGAAACATAATTCACAATTCTATCAATACCTAACATGATTGAGTATGTTGGCATACAATTATACTTTTGTCTCTGGGAACATCAACTTATCAAGTTCTGTAAAAATCAAAACAACAGACATAATTCATCCAGCATTTAATTGGGCAGATTTGAAGGCAAAGAATTTACAAAAAAAAGGAAACCACTACATCACTTCTTCTTCTTTGATGGCAACAATATACCGTCATACTAATAAAACAAAACAAAACAAAACAATATTAACATAGAAGTATAACATAGTAAGCTGTGTAGAGTCGGAGAGAGAGGGGAGGGATGGTGGTAACAAATGATCTTATAAATTATCCAGGGGAGGGGAAGTCCTAAAAAGGACTGAAATTTATGATAGTCACTTAAGTTTTGACTGTGTGAATTCGAATAATCAATAGCTCATCAGAGACAAAGCGAAGTTGTTTATCAGTCAAATAAGGAAAGTCAGCCACTGAAAAGCAGTAATAATAAGAGTCACAGCTGTATGAGTATTTTCCAACTGTTGCCAATTTGGCTCAGCTCCCCAAAGTTAAAGGGTTAAGCAGGCTGGCCCAGTTCAGCTTTAAGCCAGTTTTAATAGGGGCCTACCTCCCCTTAGAGTGACTGATGTCTAATTTCTCTGAACAGTATCACCTCTGTATCAAACATAAAATCATGGCAATAAAGAAAATGATCACAAATTAATGAGACACTTGATAATTTGACAAATTCACCTTTCAATACCAAAGGCAATGTATAGAGAAAAGAGTGAAGAATATGCATAGTGACGTTAAGGTATAAGGGTTTCCAGGTGTTACCTTCTGTTGGAACCACTTCATGGATTCATCCTTTGATATCAGATGCTTGTAGCCAATTCTGGATTGCTTCCTTTTCCGTTCAGCAACACTGAAACCAGGACGTCCCAGCACTACGTAGAAATCCATGCCATAAATCCCAATACTGGGGTCATATTTAATTCCAAGATCAATATGTTCTTGGATTCCAAAACCAAAGTTTCCAGTTTTAGAGAAGTTATCCTTTGAAAGCTCATATTCACGAACCTATTGAAACAAAAAACAGTTGAGCTTTAACCCTTTAACTCCCAGCAGTGATCAATATGCAACTTCTCCCAATAATATTCATACATTATCCAGCAAACAGGTAATGAGAATACTCAAACTTAGTAGGTAGAAGTTGTCTTCTTGATATAACACCAAATTCTCATAACTACTTTACAAGGAAATGTGTAGCAGCTAGAGGGGAGAATTAACAATCAGATCTTGGGAGTTAAAGGGTTAATTAACTACTTTCTGTAGCATGACCTGACCAGCTTTGAGTATTACCACTGCCCTTTGGATATGATACTAGTCTCTAGGAGTAACTGGCATCTAATTTCTCCTTAAGTATCATGCTTGAATCACATGTAAAGCTCATAACAATAAAGGAAAATTAATGATGACCAATCAAAGAGGCTCTTGATTGTCAAACAAATTCTCCTTATGAAGACAATAGGAAATGTAAAGAAGACAGTGTGGAGAATATGAATACCAATGTAAAAGGTGTGAAGGTTTAAGGTAGCCCTCCACCTTTCTTTTGGGTTTCCATGACAGTTTGCCAGTACTCATTTAAACCCCAGGGTGGAAAGAGATGTTATAAAGGCAAATATAGCATCAACAAACACCACACAAAAACCCAGTCAGGGTTTGCCCAGATCTTATCCATCCAGAGTCCACTGGGCTAAATGTCTTGTTATTTGACATTAGATTGTTCCTACCAGTGAACTCTACCTCTGTTGTAGATGCTTTTATATCATCTCTCAGTTAGCATGTAACCACGGTGAAACCTTTGTCAAACAAACAATCTTTTCAATTTTCTTTTAAGTCGTTTGATTTTTCGTGACTGCCAACCATGTTGGTCACTTTACAACTTCTGAAGAGCTGCGAAACTTATTGAAATATCCACAAATATAAACTATGTATGAATACAATCGATCTTTCCAGAAGACAAGGCATTTGACTGACGCAAAAATATCGCTGATGAATCAGGGAATATATAGACCCATTCAAGGTACGGCTTTGTCGGGTTGACGTAAATGGCAAGGTCATCAAAGCTTGGAGGGGTATATTCAATATAGGAGCGTATTTAAACAGTTATTGGATTTATCGCATGTTAAATAGGAGTATAGGAGCTTGGGACGAAGGAAAGTTATCACCTTGGGCGTAAAAAACTGTTTAAAGAGAACGCAGATCCACCTAATACGCTGGTAACGTTTGTTGATACTCGCCTTCATGCAAGGTTTCCGTTACCATTTTCAAGGCGTTTAGGTTTAGTAAGTAACGGGTACGATAGAAGGGCTGAGCGAAAAAAAGAGAGGCAGTGCTTTGTAAGCTGTCCATTGCAGCTTGCTCTCCAATTGATGAGTAAATTCATTACTCTGTGTCATAAAATTAAGTTCCGATTGTATCATACTTTAAAGTAGGGGCGGTTTATGTTTATTCTCTTCCGTCTCGTTAGACTTTCCTATTTTTACAGATCCCAAAACCCACAAGAATCTAACGAGCTCCACCGCGCGCAGCAAATGTAGTTTTCCAGTTTATATATACTGAGTAATTTGACGAGTCAGAACAGTTACCGCAGCCAAGAACTTAGCAAGAATCTAACAAGCTCCGCTGCAGCAAGCAAAGTTTTCCAGTTTGGTGATAACAAGACAAAGGAGTTATTGCGGTCAAAACTTAATAATTTTCATCACAACTACATTTTGTTTTGTTTTTGATTCATGATTTACGCAAAGATAATCCTACATTTACTTAAAATCTGTACTTAAAATGCAATCACATTGGGTGTCGAAACTATGGCCATCTGTACTTAGCTCTAAGCGATTCGATAATCGCCAAACAATCAGTTGTTCATCGAACTTATTTTGTCTTTATACTGACCCAGTGAAGATTGACATAGAAACTTGATATTTCGTATCGGACGCTTCGCTTTTTATCTACACAGAATATGACCTTTAAGTAGTAAACCTCTATGTGTTCGCGGTGGTCGCGTTTGAAAACAAATAAAGCAGTTTTACTAAGGCTACTTAGAACACTGAGTTCCATTATCTTAGCAATTACTGTTGTTTTTGGCAAATTGTGAACATTGTTGTTCATGTGTGCTAAGCCAAACTCTTTTAACTGCCAATTTTACAAATATACGGGTATGGTATTTTCCCCAAGTCGTTACAGTCTAAGAGTGAAGGTGAATCAGTTTGATACGATGAAGTGACTCTTGAATATCAAAAACTGATTCTTTGTTACATTGTTCGCATGACGTGAGTTATATAATCATTCTAGGTTCCTTGAAACATGCCGCAGAACATGTATGTACGCCTTTTAGAGTCAAGGGAGGCATCCGTTAGTACCTCATAACACTAATTACAGATTAATCGATAACAATCGATATCATAACATACAACCTGGCCGTTTATAACAAGCGTCTTTTCTAGTAGCCATGGATTCAATCTTCAACCCAATGACTCTTCTGTGAGGCGCACAACTTCTTTTGAAAAAGTTCATTAAAAACCGACAGTGCCTGCTGACATCTCTTTTTATTTATTCTAAAATTGATTAAATTGATTTAACAGCCAATGTTTTTACGCATTGTTTAATTTCTCATGCGGTCATTATTGAAAGTGCCAAACAAAAAACAAAGAAATTGTGAAGCTTGTAATAATCGCAGTATGAATTTTTTAGTTCATTTATCGAGCGGTACGCCTCGAGCAAAGTCGTAATAAGCTGAATAAAAATCGCCGACTTTGTTGAGACGTCATGCACTTGTGATTAACGATACCGTGCATTAATCAGGGAAACCAGCTTTGCCGACTGCATGATGGCAAGATATTTGTAGACTGTCCTAAACTTGTAACTTGTACAGTTTAAAATTAAAAATACGTTTACGTCAAAAGGTGTCACAGGGGTGAATAGCAAAATTTACCATGTAAACAGACCCTTAGTTCAATAGAACGAGAATGGCGCTCTCACACGGAATGGTAACGTTAGGGCGCTTCGCGCTTATTCTCCTTCTGTATCTAAAGTTGATTTCCATCTGCTTAAATGTAGTCTCTTGTATTGTATTGGGTCACTGGACTTTCACGGTAGGAATCCTGTTGATCTTGTCGACCTTTACGCTACATATTGTCGGGATGTTATCATTTGGCGAAGCGTGGACACTTGGGAAACGGCATTATTACTCTTACACTTGGTTTGTGTATACTGGTCTTTTAATAGTGGACATTATCGTAGTACTTACACCGTATCTACAAGTCGTAGATGCAGAGAAAGATATTCCATTTTGGCTAACGATTTTTGTCAAAGTTCTTTATATCACACCATTTACTTTGCTGCTCTTTTTGAACACTGCTGGCGAAGAAGGCACCGAATTTCACGGAGAATCTAGATGGTTGTTTGCTACAATGTCTGCACAAATATTCGACGCCATCGATATGATAGACAATGTTTTGAACGGTTATGGCAATGGGCCACCTACAGGACTTGGAGTGGGCATGATTACCCTTGCTTCTGGATGTCTGTTGCTTGCAGCGTGGGAGTTTCTAGAACTAGCGCATCGCTCACCCGGAAGCGAGAACGGAGCGAAGGTTTATCGACTTATCGTGTTGATTCTCGTTAGCCTGGCAACTTTGATAATTCGAGCGGTGGTTTATGTTGATTATGGTTGGAGAGAAACGACGCCGATCGCCATGAATGTAATCATGATATGTATATCAGTCTCGGAATTACGCCGTTTCTTTGGTCAGACTTCTCTATAAACATATCTGGATGAGGTACAACTAGGCCCGGCGAAATCAGATAATTTGGTTTCGTCTTTCGCTCTGACAAAGCGCTAACGTCAGCTTTAGAAACCTTTTACGGTGGCCAATTTACATTATCAACTTTGTGGATAAAACTAAATTATCTTATTCTACCCTTCACCGACGCTGCACCAGAGTTCCTTTAGAAAGTTACTACCTTTATTGATAGGGCTCAAATTGGCACTCCTGAGCCACACCGATTATTTTAGCAAAACGGTGATCTTAAATGGGGGCTTCCTCGATCAAAAGCTGTCTATTGATAACTCACAATAAGCAATTACTCGTTGATGCTGAGCATTTCATGAATAATCAGTGCCGAGGTTGGTGTTATTTGCCGAAGCCGAAGGCTGAGGCAGAAAATACAGTGGCGAGGTTTGATACTTCTTGATATCATGCGAACACCGAATTTAATACTTGTTTTTTAAAACAATCAGCAGAAGAAGACACTCTCAGAGTTTGCAAAAGCTTAAGAACACGAGCACGAGTACTACACGACTACACGAGCGAGGGACTTAGAAACTTGGCAGCCTTTGAACTTGATATCTGTAGCAGATATTGGGTTATCATAATGAGTTACCATGTCAACTTCACACACCATCATATATTGACTGGATGCTCTCTACTAATCAAAGTTTTCATAGCATGTCTAATGTATAATAATGGAGTTTGTCTGTAAAGATAAACCGTCCAAACTTTTATTTGGACGTCTTTGTTTGTTTATTTGGTGTTGTAAATTTTAAGATTTTAATTGCAAATCCAAGTTGAAGTATTTCTTTTTCTAAAACATTGGTTGAAAAGCTAGGGTATTGATATGAATTGAATACTGAGTGGAAACATCTGTCATTTGAACTTTTCAAGCAACTGTTCAGGCATGATATTCACTCTAACATAAAAATAATATGTTCTGTCTTCTAAAATGTGTGTATTGTTAGCACCTTTCATCCCATAGCTAGTAAATTTGTGCTATCAAATTCAATTCTGTAAATATGTTTCATATTCCACCGTGCATGTTGATGAGTTGTAAGCACTGGAGCATAGCAGATGAACTTTTCTTTCAAATAGAATTTTAACTTCCACTTTGAAAACGTAAAAAATAGGTTTATGTTTCAGCTGTTTTTCATCCTGGTGTGAAGCCCTTCAGGAGTTTAATGAGTGCTGAAGAGGCTTCTTTTGCTTGTAGTAATATCTTGAACACCTCTTAAGAATCTTTTGTACTTTTCAAACTTCCTGTATGCTTAATGTCTTGATGCATGCAAACCCTTGCATACAACAAGTCTTAATCATGAATATTGAATGAGACAAAATTCACAATTCTATCAATACATAACATGATTGAGTTTGTTGGCATACACTTATACTTTTGTCCTTGAGAACATCAGCTTATCAAGTTCTATAAAAATCAAAACAACAGACATAATTCATCCAGCATTTAATTGGGCAGATTGGAAGGCAAAGAATTTACAAAAAAAAGGAAACCACTACATCACTTCTTCGTCTTTGATGGCAACAATATACCGTCATACTAAAAAAACAAAACAAAACAAAACAATATTAACATAAAAGTATAACAAAATAAGCTGTGTAGAGCTGGCGAGAAAGGGGAGTGTTATGATATGCAAAAAACCTTCCGGACATCAACGTTTGCTTTTTCTTTCTTATGTAACTCTCAACTGTTATGTAACTTTCTGGACTGGTTATGTAATCACTTCGGACTACTCACGTGTCAGTTCTCGGGTTACACGACAAAAAACATTTCATAATAAGAGAGTCGCTATCGCGTTGTTGTTGTTTCGTTAGCTCTAAAGGTAACCTGCCTCTCAAGTAATTAAAGTTTGTGTTCAAAGAAGCTTACTGGACTCAGACTCACTATCTTGCTCTCTCGCGTCTTAAAGGACAAAACTTGGTGTCAGGAGTGGGATAAGGTTTTCACGAGCTTTGTTGTTGTTGGTGGAAGTTTATTTTATATTGGTCATGACCTCGACCTCTGCTAGTCAGCAACCTTCTGGTTCATCGGCTGCTGCACCGATCTATACCACCACAGTACCGCTAGCCAAACCTCCAGATCCTCTTAATCTCGAAGACAGGTCACGTAGAGGCGATAACTGGTTACACTTTAAGAGAGCATGGCAAATCTATGAACGGGCGGCTGGGATAAGTCAAAAGGACGGCCCAGTCCGTGTTGCTCATTTTCTTAACATCGTTGGAAGAGAAGGAGTCCAATTGTTTGACACCTTTACCTTCGCTGAAGACGAAAGCGCTGACAATATTGATGACGTCCTGGCTAAATTTGAATCTCGTTGTTTGCCGCAGCGAAATCAGACGTATGAACGGTACCTCTTCAACAAGAGAGAGCAAGAACCAGGAGAAAGTGTCGATCAATATTGCACAGCACTGATGCGCCTTTCTGAACACTGTGGGTTCCTAACCCTAAGAGACAGCTTGATAAGAGACCGCCTCATCCTTGGAGTCAAGAATGATCGGTCACGCAAGAAACTTTTAGAGAAGAAAGATCTCACTTTGGATAACGCGTTGGATATCCTGCGAACACAAGAGCTAACTGATATACGCGCTTTAGACATGACAACTGAAGAAGCTAATGTGAATAGGGTAAAAGCCAAGAAAACGAAACCGCCTAAGACCCAGACTGAGGATACAACACCGCATAAACACACTTCAGGTAAGAAGCGGACTCCTCCGTGGAAGTCAAGAGAAAAAAGTTCTGGTAACCCCGACAATGTATACACACGAGAATGCAAGTTTTGTGGTACTGTTCACGAGATGAAAAAGTCAGCTTGTCCAGCAGTTGGCAAGAAATGCACCAAATGTGGCAGAGACGGACACTTTGCAAAAAAATGCCACTCTCGCTCTGTCAATCACGTACAAGATTGTGAAATCTACAGCCACAAACCCTCCCCCACATCAGCTTATGTAACGGCGTGCCTTAACAATAATGCCCAAGTACAACTTCAGATTGATACAGGTGCTTCATGTAACATTCTCCCCAAAAGTGCCTACATCCGGGCTACAGGAGACAAACAGTGTACAAACCTTGAACAGTCGTTTACAAGGCTCATCATGCACAACAAGACTGTAGTCTGGCCACTTGGTCAAATCCGCCTACTTACTGAACGGAAAGGAAGAAAATATGGAGTTCTTTATCACATTGTGAAGCAAGATTTGACACCCCTCCTCTGTCGAACGACGTGTGAAAAGATGAACCTGGTCAAAATCTTGGATGCTGACGTAAATGCGATTCACGACGAAAGAATTGACGTCTCGTCAAATGTTAGAAGTGATCCTATCCTATATGAATTTACCGATATCTTCACTGGAATTGGCTGCCTTGAAGGAACCTACTCCATTCAAGTGGACGAAGGTTTCCGCCCGGTGGTACATCCCCCTCGTAAAGTGCCAGTCCCACTTCGAGATACCCTCAAGTTAGAGCTGGATAACATGGTGAAGAGTGGTATCCTCGCCAAGGTAGTTGAACCGACATCATGGGTCTCTAGCCTTGTCATAGTGAAGAAATCTAACGGGAAAATACGAGTATGTCTGGATCCTCGAGATCTCAACCGCGCAGTGAAACGCTCGCATTATCCACTTCCAACTATTGAGGAAGTAGCAACTCGCCTTAGTGGTGCTAAAGTCTTTAGCGTGTTAGATGCCAAATGTGGATTCTGGCAGGTACAACTTGATGAAAAGAGTAGTTACTTGACAACCATGAACACACCTTTTGGTCGCTATCGATGGCTCAGAATGCCATTCGGAATAAACTCAGCCCCAGAAGTATGGCAACAACGAATGCACGAGCTAGTAGAAGGACTCGCAGGTGTTGAAGTCATCGCCGATGATTTCCTAGTTTGCGGTTTTGGAGACTCTAATGAAGCTGCAATTGCCAACCATGATCAGAATCTCAAGGCTTTCCTCAGTCGCGCAAGAGAAAGAAACCTCACTCTCAACAGCGAGAAGTTGAAACTTCGACAGTCACAAGTTCCTTTCATAGGACACCTCCTTACAGCGGAAGGTCTAAAACCTGACCCGTCAAAGGTACAAGCTATAGTGGACTATCCAGTGCCTACCAATCTCGCTGAAATCAGAACGTTTCTGGGAATGGTGCAGTATCTGGCGAAATTCTGCCAACATCTGTCTACAGCATCACAGCCCTTAAGACAGTTGGAAAAGAAGGAAATAGAATGGCATTGGGCAACCCCCAAGATAAAGCCTTCAAGGAGATAAAAGAGCTCATCACTAAAGCCCCAGTCCTACAGTACTTTGACGTGAGTAAGAATGTCACTATACAGTGCGATGCCTCACAGTATGGCATTGGCGCAACTCTACTCCAGGAAGGACAGCCAGTTCACTACGCCAACAGGGCACTGACGTCGACAGAGCAAAATTACGCACAGATTGAGAAGGAGCTCTTAGCTGTTGTATTCTCTTGTGAGCACTTCGAGCATTACATTTATGGCAAGCACGTCACAGTCGAAACAGATCACAAGCCACTGATTGCTATACAGAAGAAGCCAATCAATACAGCTTCTAAGAGATTACAGCGTATGATGCTACGTCTTCAAAGATTTGACCTGAATCTCACTTACAAGCCAGGCAAAGAGATGTACATCGCTGACGCACTTTCTCGCGTTCTACCTAAGCAGTCAAAGGTACCAAATGCTAGCACCTCATCCTGCTATAAAGATCTAGAAACTGTCAACTTTGTTGAAGACTTATCGATATCAGAGTCGACACTTGCCAAGTTTCAAGTGGAAACGGCCAAGGATGAATCTTTACTAGCGTTGTCACAAGTTATACGCGCTGGCTGGCCTACAAAAACTTCCATGGTACCTACAAGCGCACAGCTTTTCTTCAAATACCGAGATGAAATGACGCTCCAAAATGGCCTAGTTTTCAAAGGAACGAAGATCGTTGTCCCAGAGAGCCTTCGCCGTGACATGATAGAGGAAACACACAAGTCCCATCAGGGACTCCAAGCATGCCTTCGAAGGGCCAGAGAGGTTTTCTTCTGGCCAGGAATGTCTGCACAACTCAAGAATCGTATTGATAAATGCTCTATATGCCAAAGTGTGAGACCTGAACAAGCCAGTGAACCTCTTCAGCCTCACCCAGTTCCTGACAGGCCATGGCAACGAGTTGGAACAGATTTGTTTACCTTCGAGAACCGAAACTACCTCGTATTAGTTGATTACTACAGCAACTTTATCGAGCTGGATCATCTTGCCGATACTACGTCCCAGACAGTCGTTCACAAGCTGAAGATGCATTTTTCGCGACATGGGGTACCCGATTACGTAGTTTCTGACAACGGTCCTCAGTACTCATCCTCAGAGTTCCGAAGATTTGCAGTAACGTGGAAGTTCACTCATATCACCACCTCACCACACTATCCACAAGCTAATGGGATGGCCGAAAGCGCAGTCAAAACCTGCAAGACTTTAATGAAGAAAGCTCTTCTGTCTCAATCCGATCCATATCTTGGTTTATTGGATCACCACAACACCCCCACTGCTGCGACAGGTATGTCTCCATGCCAACGACTTTTTGGTCGCCGAACTAAGACACTTCTACCCTTCTCAGAGTCTTTACTCAAGACTGACCAAACAGTTAGTGATCTTCTCAAAAGGGATCGTGTCAAGCAAGCGAAACATTTCGACCAACATGCTAAACAACTCTCAGAACTCAAATCAGGTGACATAGTGCGCATGAAGATGCCTGGAGAAACAAAGTGGTCAAAAGCAGTTGTTTCTTCTAAAGTGGCATCTCGCAGTTACAAGGTTGAAGTCAATGGTAGATTCTACAGGCGTAATCGCAAGCAGTTGCGTTCTACCATGGAACCACTTCAAGAAACCCCCTTCAAAATGGACGAAGATGACCTGACCGTTCCAGACAATCTGCAGGAACAGGACCAACCCCCTCCAGCAAGTTCTCAAGTAGGAACATCCATGTCCCCTCCAAGATCTCAACTACCCCCAACACCTCAAACAGAGCTGAGTGCAAGACCACCTCACGAAGCTACTAC